CAGCTGGAGAGGGCACTTCTAAGCTCCTATCTTGGAAATAGAAATGAGAGAGAAACTGTTAAATTTGAACTTACAGGGTGGTAACTTGTGTGTCATGATTGATAAATCCTTTGCAAATCCTAGGTAAATATAAAACTTTATAGTGAAAATTTTGGTTAAATACTATAATTGTTGAAACGGAGTAATGTTAATTGTAGTTGTGCTTTTTTTATCTAGATTTAGATATATTCTTACTACATATTGTTTAATAGCCCAAATAGCTGAGAAGTCTTAGCTTTACATAGCCAAGTGAGACCAGGAATTATTTCCATATTTGTCTTTATGTAAAATTCCTGTTTTTTAATACCCACATTGTAAAGTGTTAAGGAAACTGCAAATTGTTGAGGTATATTTATAGAAAATGAATGTATTTTGCAGCAACAAACCTACTGATCCTCTGTGAAACAGACACAAAAGTTTTTTTAGTGAATAAATATTTGGTACTGATATACACAACAGAGGCCCACACATGCACACACACACACTCACAAGCGCACGCACACACTCAGGCATACACACACATGTGCACACGCACACGCACACACTCAGGCATACACACACATGTGCACACGCACACGCATATGTGCACACACACACACTCACGCTCACACTCACACTCTCACACACACACACACACACACACACACACACACACTCACACACACACACACACACACACACACACACACACACACACACATGCACACGCACACTCACACTCACACTCACACACTCACACACACACACACACACACACACACACACACACACACACACACACACACACACACACACACACACACACACACACACACACACACACACACACAGCAGAACAGAGGCAAAATATATTCTTTAGTACTGGAGAAGCATACTGTTAATGTTATAATTTATTGAATGGTGGAAGTAAACAATGTACATGACAAAATGAACTTTAAAAGTATCACTGTTATAGAGGGATTTACTATGTGTTTAGTTTGAATGTAAGATAATGGAAGCTAAGAGGCAACATTATTTGGTATTCAGTCTCATTTAATCTTGTCTTGTTGACTGATTCAGTAATTTTACAGTCAGTGCAGCTTTGTGATATGACAATATTCTTATATTTTGTGTTTACTATGATTTTCCATGTTTGTGGTTACATTGGTGCATAATTGTACAGTAGGGGAAATTATAATAAAGAATATAAAGCTGATTTTGTGTTTCTATAATCTGTTTACTAAAGTTTTGTGCTAGAGCACTATTATGATTTCAGTAAAAATAAACATTGCAATACAAAGTTGTATCATTGTTCTTGAAATAATAAGTGTTTTAAAACATTTCAAGCAAACATTTGTAACAGAATTAACATAAAATCAGGGAGTTATGGGAATGGTATTCTCATGGTTAATTGTGTAGCCCTTACCCTCCCCCCCAATCCCTTGCCCGTTGTTGTCGTGGGGGGCTTAGGAGGCGGAGACTGGGACCCAATGATGGGAACTCCCCAACCTTGGGACTCAACCCTCAACTCAACTAATTTTGCATGGTCTTTTTTTCCCTTCCTACTTTTCATTTCTGTCCCTTCACC